AAATCCTGGCAGGACCACTGAATCCCCACCACCAGCCTCTAACCATACGGGTGGCCCCCACCTCTTCTCACATGTTCCATCATCACAGTGGGAGGATGCTGGGCTCTGGAAGGGACAAGCCCACACCCCCATCCTGGCTCAGCCTTCTTCACTCTGTTCAGGGGACAGGGAAGCTCTGGTCCTGACCCCTGGAGCAGAGGGGGTTTCATCATGATGATTGGTGAGAGCAGATGGTGAGAAGAACTGTAGGGGAAAGCAGGACAGGCTCACGAGCCCACGCTCTGAGTCAGAGCACCAATCAGGACACACGGGGCATCTGTGAGTGCTGCAGTCAGCGCGCCTGCTGTGATGGGACCATAGATGAGGGCTTTTCTGGGGCCCAGGGACACTCAGCCTGGCCCTTCTTATTCCCACTGGGTGCTAAGGTGCCTTGACTCTAGCTGACCCCCTTCAGCGCCACAGAAGGGTCACTGGGTCCTGTAACTGGGCTGCCCGCCCTGAGGTGGATGGAGGGGGAGCCAGTTCTTTGTCCAGAGGGACTATGCCCCCCCTGTCCCTCCCCAGACTGAATATTATGTTCTTGGCAATGTAAAAGAAATAAAGCTTTTCACCATGAGCACAGAGAGCTGGTGCTGGTGTATTGCTGATCAAGGTTGAGGGTCCCTTGGCTGTAGTCCAAACCACCTTTTGCCCAGCCCAGCCTCTCTGGCTTCTCAGAACACCAGGGAAGAGCCAAACCCCATCATCATAAAATAACAGGATGTTAGGGCCAGCTGGAAGGGGCCAGAGAGCCACCTTTCCCACCTGCCATTTTAGCAATGAAGATATACAGGTTGCCTGTGAGAGTCTCTAATCCCCTACACACTGCAAGTGTTTTCATATAAAAATGAGGTGCCTGAACTCATATCTTGATAAATGGTAAAATTCTGCTCCCGTCCCCGCTATGATCTTGAGCTTCCCTCTCATCTCCATTGGAAATGGCATGTGAACTGCTTGTTCCAAACTCGGAGGAGCAAAGGTAATTTATGTCAGCAGAGCCGTGTCAAAACTGCTCTGATCAAAAGCTGACAGCACTCTGCACCTGGGCAGGCAGTTACAGTGAAGGGAAGCAAGGCTTGCCCTGGCGTGGGTGGACTGGACTCCAGGCAAATCTCGGAGGAGTTAGCCCCCTCACCCCTGGTGGTCTGATGCCCCTATATACCAGCTTGTGCCCAGGGAGGGAGCTTAGGCAGACCAAGAGTGTCAGAGTCAGGGCCAATCTCCAGGGACAGTGTAGCCCAGCCAGACCCTATGATGTCACATGGAGGGGAGTGTGGGAATGGGGAGGCAGGAGAGGATGCTGTTCTCAAAAATCCTTAAGGTCCCTTCTAGGTTTATCTGTTCACCACCAGGAGGCACAGCGTGGAAATGACAACTCTAGACTCCTGGGTTGGGGGGAGTAAGGTCTTTCCAGATTGGTCCTGACTGCCATGTGGGTCCCTCCTAATTGGCTAGCTGGACAGTGAAGCCCATCGCCACTATGGCTTCATTCAAGGGCACCTCCACAAACACTCACACCCCTTAACTGACTGTGTCCAGGAACGATGTGTTGTTCCTCTCTCTAGGGACTGACCTGAGTGTAAACTGCCCCAGCAGGGAGCTGAGTTTCCTGTCGACCTGAGACCTGAAGCCGTGCCTAGTTCTCCTGGGAGTGAGATGGAGAGCCCCTGCTCTGAGAAGGGGATGGGGCCATGCCCAGCTGCCCAGTTCTCCGGGTGCTGACATGTGGTGCACCCCAGAGCTGCTCGGGTTTCCCCTGGGGGCTGCCCCAGTGGCTGAGCTAGCATCCCAGGCATCCTCAGGCTAAATAAGGAGACTGTGTGGGTCAGGGAATGGGGGCTGGGGTCCCCGGGGGCTTGGGGCAACCACGCCAAAGAAGGCAAGGAGGGGAGCCATGTATAAAACCTGGGCCTAGGGCTGAACACCTACCCATGCCCTGGCCCTGCCGTTTGGAAGGGCATGCTGCCTGCCACCCAGCTAGTCGACCCACGTCCTGAACTTGAGCCCTCACGAGTCTAGATCTTCAGGTCAGCCTAGACACTCCCACATAGGGGGATGTTCTGAACCTACAGGGAAAAGTCTGAAGTTCGGAATCTCTGTGTCAGCCTAGACCTCTTTGTTTGTTTCCTGCTCCCCAGATGTCCAAAGCAGCTCCCACCAAAAAACCAGCGGCCCCTCCCCGTGGATGTACACTGGATATCAACGATCCCCAGGTTCAGAAAGCAACTATTCTCATCCAGGCCTCTTACCAGGACCACAGGTAAGGGGGAGCTCTGAGGAATCACTGGAGGAAGGGAGCTGGAGCTGCAGAAGGTTCACAATTGCATTTGGGGGATGGGGGTAGACTGAACACTGTATTTGGGTGGTGGGAGGAGACTGATGCTGAAGCTGAAACTCCAATACTTTGGCCAACTGATGCAAAGACCTGACTCATTGGAAAAGACCCTGATGCTGGGAAAGATTGAAGGAGGGAGGAGAATGGATGGATGGTTGGTTGGCATCACCGACTTGATGGACACGAGTTTGAGTAAGCTCCGGGAACTGGTGATGGACAGGGAAGCCTGGCATGTGCAGTCCACGGGGTCGGAAAGAGTCAGACACGACTGAGCACAGTGTCATGTACCTATAGGGTCACTGGACTTAGAGGAGAGCGGTTTCTGAGGGGAGGAGGGGTGGCTGTCAGAATAGACAATTTTACTAACAATTCTGGAGCGGCTGCCTTCCCTACCCACCCCCACACGTTTAAGGGTCTAGTGGGCTGAGGTGGGGGAGGGGAGCAGGGGATGCTGTACGGATGGACAGGGCTGCAGGTGGGCCCGGGCCGCGTCAGGAGAGCTTGGGGCCCTGACCTGGACCGTGCTGGTAGGTCCTGGAAGGAGCTGCGCGAGAAGAGGCCGCCGAGAGTGCTGGAGCCGCTGAAGGACGTGGTGCTGCTGATGGAGTGCAGCGCGGCGAAACTGACTTGCCGTGTTTCGGCGTTCCCGGACCCATTCATCCGCTGGGGCAAGGACCGCAAGGAACTGCGCAACGGGTCCAAGTATCGTTACGTCTTCAAGGACCCTGACGTAGTGGCACTGGTGGTGCACGATCGCGAGCTGGCAGATCTGAGCCAGTATAGCATCAACGTAAGCAACCCCTTCGGCCAGTGCTCCGACTCAGCGCGCATCCTTGGGGAAGGTACTTCTCGCCCTGGCTGCAGTGTCACCGCGCGAAGCAGCACCAGCTAGCGGGCGCCCACAGCCTGGTCTTGCTGCGCTTACCGCTGGGCCTCCCGGTGTCCGCAGAGGGGTGTGGCCCAGCCCCCGCACAGCCTGAGCGGCAGACCAGAGCGCAGCGCTGGCCGCGCGCGTACTCCTTTCCTACCCCCAGAATTCCATCCCATCCAGCCTAAGAAGCCCGCTAAGGGCTTCAGTCACGCGATTCCAGGGCCCCAAGGTCACCGAGAGCCAGAAGCAGAGGCAGGGGTAGAGCCCTGGTCTTCTGGCTCTCAGCCCAGCGCAATTTCCGAGGCACCGCTAGATGTGCGAACATTTCCAGGTTTTCAGCCCTAGAATCTCTACTGATCCTTCTTCATTAACCTCTGCGAAGGGCGGGATTAGTCCCGCTTGACGGTTGAGGAGATGATGACTCAGCGAGGTTAAAGACCTGCCCAACGTCACACAGCGAGCTTAAATCCATCTAGTATTTAGAGACGGGTATTAGCTGGGGAGGTGATGCCCTGCCTGCCTCATCTCTAGGTCCTTAACTGGGTGGCTGTCCCTCTCCTTTCCTCTAGTTCCAGCGAAGATTCAGAAGGGACAGGATAACACTAAGGCGCGCAAAGGCGCCACGGTAACGCCGATTGCCGAGATCCTGGGTGAGCCTGCGCCCGACATGGACTGGGCCAAGAACGGGGAAGACATCGAAGAAGACGACAGGTGAGGGCGGGGACTTGCGCAAGGACAGCACCTGGAGCGGGAGCTCGGGCGGGGCGGGGTCCAGAAACTGGCGGGAGTGGGGCGGGGGCGGGGAACTGGGCGACGAAGAATGGAGCTCTCAGTACCTCGGCCGCAATCCGCCTAAACTGATCCCAGGCCCTGCCCTCCCCTTCTTCCCACCTAGACTGTTCTTTGAGATCGACAGTACCTCCACGACGCTGACTATTCACTAGGCCACGCTGGAGGACAGCGGCAAGTACGAAGTGTACGTGGAGAACAGCCTGGGCATGGACCATCCATCGCTCGCGTGGTTGTGGCCTGAAAGGGACCCTCAGACCCGTCGCCCTGGCCGGAGCCCCGGGCGGGTGGGTCAGATAACCCTCCTTCATCTTGTTTAATAAAGCTGCTCTCTTTGATTCTTGGCGTCTATTCTGTTCTTTTGAGACGCCATTTCCCCTGCACTTGCACCCACACTTTTTCCAGATCAACACACCAAGGTCACAGAAAGTTGGGATCAGAATGTTTGGAGGGTGCCTAGTCCAGTGGTTCATTTTGCAGACAGTGAATCTGAGATATGACTTTTCTCACGGTCAAAAAGTTCCCGCACTTGAAAGTCTATCACTCCGTCTTCTCTTTTGCATAGCTCAAGCCCCACCTTCTCCTGGGGGATTTGCACTCTGGCCCAGTCCATCTCAAGGCTGGCCACACTCCGTCAGGTCTCTAGCCTCGCTCTTCCCTGGGACCTGGCTGATACCCCTGGGCCCTTTCCCAGACAGCTCAGGTCCTAATCTTAAATTCCAATCTCAGTTTCTCAGGCTCCATTCTTCTAATTTGGATCCGCCCCCCTAGATTTCTTGCCACGCCCCCGTGCTCTCCCATAAATCTCACCTCCTCGCTCCTGGTTAGAAAGCAGGAGGATAGTTAAGAACTACAATTCCCGGCAGACTCTGCGAAGGAGTTCTCGCGAGTTGCGAGAAGACACGTGCGCGGAAGGAGCAAGCAGTAGCGGGCGACAGATCTGGCGAAAGGGGACTAGTGGTAAAGGGAACTGATGGAGGGGCGCCGAAAAGGGTAGAGGGCACAGGACTGTAGACCGAGAGCGGCTCGGAGGCCTCGACTGGCTCTCCGCCCTAACGCTCTCGTGTGGGTCCCACAGTCTCTGGCTGCGCGAGGCTAGGATTTATTAGAGTCAGTTGTGCAGTTTAGAGGGTCAACAATCAGTTCTCCGAATCCAGAGATTCATTACTTGTCGTCAGTATCGGTGCTCAGGGCTTGGTAGGTTCGGTGTTTGGGACGCTAAAGAAATCTGTCTTTTGATTCAGGGTTCATCACCTAGAGGTTAGTTTTAGGATTCAGGTTCAGCCTATATAGGTTTATTTTAAATTGGATTTGGGATGCATTATATACGCATCAGAGTTAGTTCAGTACTTGGAAGCCATTCTTAGGATTGTAGTTAGATATTTGGGACTCAGGGTCTGAGGTTCAGTATTCAGGGTTCACTGTTGGGGTACAGGGCTTAAGATCTAGAGTCAGGATGCAACAATTGAGAATTGATGGGTTTGGAGTTTAGGTTTCTTGAGGTTTGAGATCTGAGAAGGGTGTCTCTTGCTGAGTTGCTGAGTTTCTGAGTTTGCTGAATCTGTGGCCAGAGGGAAGACTATTAGGGGTCAAATTGTGGGGTGTGAATTTCAGAATTTGGGTGGATTCATTGTGGGGTTTGAAGGCCAGCTGGAGTCTGGGCTGGGATTTGAGTTGTGTGAAATATACCAGGTGTTGTATCCTGGGCAGGTGCATACTGAACTTTGGATTTACATCCTTGGAGAGGGCTAAGTGCTGCTATTTGGGATTTGGGGCCTAGTTGGGGTATGAATCAGGTTCCTGGGTTGGGGTGTGAGATCTGAGCCTGACTTCTCTGTTGGGATTTGAGGTTTAGGTAGCAATCGCCATCATGCTCAAAGCTGTGATCCTGATTGGAGGCCCTCAAAAGGGTGAGGAGCCAGGGGAATGAGGGGAGGAGGCTGGGCTGAAGTGGTTAACTGGGTGAGCACAGAGAGAGGCAGGAAGATGAAATGTGCTTCTTTCCCCTCTTCCAGGGACTCGCTTCAGGCCTTTGTCATTTGAGGTGCCCAAACCCCTGTTTCCTGTGGCGGGGGTGCCTATGATCCAGCACCATATTGAGGCTTGTGCCCAGGTAACCCCGTAGGCTCCCCTCTCCCACTTCACTTCCTGCTCATCTCCTTTCATGCCATATTTCCCCCTTTTCCAACCATGACCTTCCCACAAGGCATAACTTCAGGGACCACCATTTACAAATGAAAATGTGGATGTTGCCCCCTGGAGTTGTTCTGTATGGCTGCCCTACTGTCTTCTCCTAACCTAGTCTCATCTGGCCTCTTGCTCAGATTCCTCTCCTATTTTTAAAGCATGGAATGTGAGATCAGGCAAAAATCTTAGAGACAATTTAACGCTGTAGCTTGGGGAACCTTAATGATAGCAAAGCGCAGAACTCATACCTTTGCTCACTGAGGAGCTAATTTCTTTATTAGCTCTTTGGTATTGAAGCAGGCAGGGTTTTATTTGAATCTCGTTTCTACCTGCTGTAAGGACATGAGCAAATTTCCCAGTCTTTCTGAGCCTTAGTTTCCTTATTTGTAAAAATGGAGATGATTAGACCTGCTTTGTGAGGTGGCGAAGCTTGCAACCGTGTTTGTAAAGTGCCTAGTACAGTATAGGTGCTTGATAAATAATATCCTCATCTCAAGCTCATATTGACAGATGACAAATACGGGGGCGGGGGGCGGAAATGAATGGGTTATTCTTTAACACAGCTTGGTAGGCAAAATCTTCCCTAGGGTGAGCCCCAATTCAGATGTGAGAGGGCAGGGGATAATAGAATAATAAAAGATGTAAACATCAGGGACTGAGGCTTCTCCAAACTTCCTCATTGTCCAGAAGAGGAAACAGGCCAGAGTGGTAAAGTGAGTGCCCAGGGGCCTCACAGCTGAGAAAGAAACTGTGGTCTCCAGACTTCGCAGCCAGCACCAGGGATTTCTCCCCGTTTTCATTCTTTCCTATCAGATATTTTTTTTCTTCCAACCTTTTCCTTTATCCCCAGGTCCCTGGGATGCAGGAGATTCTGCTCATTGGCTTCTACCAGCCTGATGAGCCCCTTACCCGGTTCCTGGAAGCTGCCCAGCAGGAGTTTAACCTTCCCATCAGGTGTTTGTGCACATGGGTGGTGTGGGGGTTGGGGGGCAGTGCCCCGAACTTCTGGTTCTCGGGAGTGGGGTCCATCCACTGGACTTCACCCTCACACACTAGGAGGATTCTTATTGGGGCATCTGTGAATCCCTGAGTTTATTGAGTTTCTCTGTGGGCCGCGGGCGGGTGTACCTCTGGGAGCAGGAGGAGTCAGGCACCGAGGCTCCTCGTATCTGTCTCTCCTGATCTCACTGAGCTGGCCCTGGGGTCCCTGGGGACAGGTACCTGCAGGAATTTGCCCCTCTGGGCACAGGGGGTGGTCTCTACCATTTCCGGGACCAGATCCTAGCTGGAAGCCCTGAAGCCTTCTTCGTGCTCAACGCTGATGTCTGCTCCGACTTCCCGTTGAGCGCCATGTTGGATGTCCACAGACACCAGCCACACCCCTTCTTGCTCCTTGGCACCACGGTCAGGGGGCCCCGGGGGGCTGGAGGGTGCTGAGGGGGGTAATCCAGAAGTGTTTCTGGAATGCAGGCTGTTGGGGAGGCAGCCCAGGGGTTGGACTGGGAACGGGCATCAGGAGGGAGGTGTGCCAGAAACTGCAGGAGCAGTGGAGGGGGCGGTGGAGATCGCAAGCCCTTTGGCTGCTCAGCCGCAGGGAGCGGGTGAGGGGGTGGCGGCAGCTGTCAATTCTCGCCCTTGCTGAAGCCCTGTCTGCCATGGAGGTGCGTGCCAAGTGCTGTAGGAGAGGGAAAGAAAGAGGAAACAGACCCTGCTGCTCTGGAGCTAGCAGGTCACTGTCTCGGTGGGTCTGTCTTTCAGGCTAATAGGACACAGTCCCTCAACTACGGCTGCATTGTAGAGAATCCACAGACGCATGAGGTGAGAGCAGAGAGGGGGCTGGCTTGCTCTGGGAATGAGAAGATGGTGATGAGTGAATGAGGCGTGAGATCGGAGATGGGCGTGGGAGGAGGGAGTGGAGGGCCTGTGTGTGTCATCATTCCCCAGCCACTCCACCTCTGGAAATGCTGCACCACTTGGGGGGTGGCCACTCTTGTCAAACAGGTGGGGCATGTCCTCGCTCGTTTATCATGTATCCCTTCTAGAGAAATTGGAGAGAGTGAAAGCGTCACAGTAGATAAATGCCTGGGGTGCTACTGAGAGCACAAAAAGAGGCCCAACCCAGCCTTACCTGGGTGGGGGAGGGGAAGGCTACATGGAGAAAGTCTGTTTAGATGAAGGAGACGGGAAGGCATTGCATGTAGAGAGACCGGCATGTGCAAAGGCCCGGAGGCAGGAAACCACATAGCATCTCCGGAATTACGGAAGTCAGAGCATAAGCAGCAAGGTGGAGAGTCTCTGTCCTTGTTTGTGAAGCTCCCTGAGCCTGACTTTCATGCACCCCTTTTATTTGTTCCACCCCTTTTTATTTGTGCATTAAAAATACATGTACACACACATGTGTGTGCATAAATTTTATTCTGAAGTCTTGGGCTAGGTACTAGCTAGGTGTAAGAGAAGTAGAGCTGAAGGACAATCCCTGTTTCTAAGCATCTCAGACTAGTGGGAAACCCAGCCATCACAAATGATACAGTGCTATGTGAGGTGTGGCCAGAGGTCAGGGGTGCCCAGATCTGAGAAGCCAGCTCTGGGGCAGAGTGGCCTCACACTGGGTTTTGAAAGCCTAGTTTTTCAGATGAAGAGATGGGAACGGGCATTCCTGAAACAGGTATGTAATAGCATGGAGTTATGTTCCGGGAACACTGGGAGGTGGGAAGGAGAAAGGCATGTAGTTCAGACTTACCGTGAAGGTGAAGGCCAACAGCTGGGGGCAGTCTGCGTTGCAGGAAGACCACTCTGGCAGCAGGGAAGATCTGGAGCTCAGGGGATCTTAGAGGTGGTGGCAGTGGCCTCTTCTCCCCTAACCCCAGCCTACTCTGTCCTCAGGTCCTGCACTATGTGGAGAAGCCCAGCACGTTCGTCAGTGACATCATCAACTGCGGCATCTACCTCTTTTCCCCGGAAGCCCTGAAACCCCTCCGAGATGTCTTCCAGCGAAATCAGCAGGATAGGCAACTGTGAGGCAGGCCCCATGACCCTGTGACCCCAAGTGCCCCTGGGCACAGACACCCCCCACCCACCACCTCCCCCCAGTCTCTGCAGGCTCCACGTCCACCCGCTCACCTTCCTTGTCCTTCTTGTCTCCACTTGTCATCTCCAGCTGAGCCTCCCCATCCCTCCCTTCCTAACCTCATTCTGTCCCTCTTCCTTATCCATCTCAGTTCGTCTTCTGTCACTGCCTGCCCACTCCCCTTCTGGTCCATTTCTCTCAACCCCTGAGTGTCCCAGAGATGCCTTTCCAAACAGACGGCAACACACACACTTGGGTGCACACAGGCTTGTGTGTGCACGCACACGCACGTGCGCGTGTACAGCTGTACTCTCAGGCTCAGGCTCCCCCTGGAGCACAGTGCCCCAGAGCCCTGCTCACCATTGGCCACAGCCCAGGGTCGTCCTCCTAGGCTGGGACCTGCTCCTTCCCTGGATCCCTGCCTTCACTCCCTCCTCCCCCACCCATCTCCCATCTCATGCCTCATTCACGCATCACCATTTTCTCACTCCCACCCATCTCTCTGCTTTTCTCTCCATCTCTCCTGGCCTCTCTGTTTCTGCTGAGCTGGCATCTCCACCATCTCTCTCTTTCTCTCTCTCTCCGTCTCTCTCTGTGACTGTCTCTGCCCTCACCAGCTGCCTTCCTCTGGGGTGAGTCTGTCTGTGTTTCATTCCATCCAGTGAGAGGGAGGGCGGATGGTGGGGAGAATGGGAAAAGGGAGGAGAACCCAGGTCTGGTCGAAGGGCAGGATGGGCAGCAGGTCTGTGCCTGGGAACACTGCAACTCGGGGGGTGGGGAAAGGGGGGTGATGTGTGCGAGGGTGATGTGTGCAAGGGTGATGGGAGAGCTTCCTGGATGTAAGCATCCCTCTGGAGTAGATCTGACCAGACCTGGAGAGGTGGTGGGATTCGCTTTGATCCCTGTCCCCAAGTGATTGTGTTGGCCCCCAGTCAGGCTCAGCTGGGGAACTGATGTCAGTATCCCTCCCTCCGTGCCAGGGAGGACTCTTCAGGCCTATGGCCTGGGGCAGGTACCATCCGCCTGGAGCAGGATGTGTTCTCCGCCCTGGCCGGGCAGGGCCAGATCTACGTGCACCTCACTGACGGGATCTGGAGCCAGATCAAGTCTGCAGGGTATGGGAGTGGCCTCTGATGGGATGGTTGGGTCGTTTGAGACTTTGGGGCAGTGGGCACAGGCCCTGCTGGCCCCTGAGCCCCCGTTCCACTTTCTGGCCCCTAGCTCAGCCCTCTATGCCTCCCGCCTCTATCTGAGCCAGTACCAGCTCACTCACCCAGAACGCCTGGCCAAGCACACGCCAGGGGGTCCACGGATTCGAGGTACCCATCCTGCCCAAATCCCTAACCCTTGCCCCCGAGTCCAGCCCTGCTCCCCTCTGAGCTGTGACTCCTGGTCACAGATCCAGAGGTGAAGTCTCAGCCCCACCCTCCCTGAACCAGGTGTGGTTTAGGGGCATTTGCCCCCAGTCCTTTCTTCTGCTTCTAGGAAATGTTTACATCCACCCGACGGCTAAGGTGGCCCCGTCGGCAGTGGTAAGCAGTGGCCCAGCCCAGAGGAAGGGAGGTGGCCATCAGAATGGGTGGGGTGGTACAGATTCTCCCGAGCTCAGGATGGGGTCTCGCCTTCATGCACGGCTTGTAGAGTGGCCTCAAGCAGGTCCCTTCCCCTTTATCTGTTCTGTGAGGGGACTGGACTGGGGACCCTCCAAGGCCTACGGTTGTGCTGTTCTCCACAGCTGGGCCCCAACGTCTCCATCGGGGAGGGAGTGACCATAGGCGAGGGCGTGCGGCTCCGAGAGAGCATCGTCCTCCACGGAGCCACACTGCAGGTAGGCACCCAGGCCCACGCTGCACATGTGGCGCCCCCAGAGGCCAAGCGGAAGGGTGTGCACCATGGGCTCTGCATCTGGCCCCTCACTCCCTTCTTGCTGTTTGTCAGGAGCACACGTGTGTTCTGCACAGCATCGTGGGCTGGGGGAGCACCGTGGGGCGCTGGGCCCGCGTGGAGGGTACCCCCAATGACCCCAACCCCAACGACCCCCGAGCCCACATGGACAGTGAGAGCCTGTTCAAGGACGGGAAGCTGCTGCCCGCCATCACTATCCTAGGTATGCTTTCTTGGTCGCTGGACTGCAAGAAACTTCCACAGGTGATGGCCATGCCCTGTGGGAGCATTTGTGTGCCTATGTGTATGTGTGTCTGTGTGTGTGTATTCCTTGAGCAAACATTTACCCAGTGTCTGCTGTGTGTCAGGTCCTGTGTAAGTCACAGGGGGCACAGATGGGCAGGGAGGGGTCCCCCCCACCCCCAGATAGCAGTGGTCCCCAGCTCATTGCCCCTCGCCTCCCCTCCCCATGGCTTCTCCCTGGTGCCCTGGTCCACACTGCAGGCTGCCGCGTCCGGATCCCTGCCGAGGTGCTCATCCTGAACTCGATTGTTCTGCCACACAAGGAGCTGAGCCGCAGCTTCACCAACCAGATCATCCTCTGAGGGGGCCTGCCAGAAGGCCCCCCTGAACTCCAATCTGCTCCCCTGAGGCTCCTGCCTGCCTGCGTGGCCAGCCTTTGTCCAGGCAGGCTCTTCACAGGCACGCTTGCGGGGAGCAACGTGGGTGGTCGGAGGACTCGTGCCCTCCCTCTCCACTCCCTAATAAACCCGGGTGAACCCTGGAGCCTGCATGGACTCCGCTTGTGCCTGGGCTGGGGGTGATGGTGGAAGGGGGGCAGCTGAGTCAGGCCCCCCCACATTAGCATTTAAATTGGAGTCGTTGCTTCGGGCTCATGAATAATGAATCTGGAGCCCTGGTAAATTTCCCCCTCCTACTGCCTCAGCCTCTCTGCCGCTCTGGAGGAAGGCCCTCCAGGCTCCTAGCCCGCCGGTCCTGCTTTCACCCTGATGCTGCCTCCCTGTTCCCCTTCACTGGGCCTGGCTCAGGCTCCGGAGTGTAAGGGTTCCAAGGGGAAGGGGGAGGGATTTCGGTTGGCTGGTGGGGGTGCAGGCAGCAGGCATGGGGATTGGGCCTGGGAGCCCAGGGCCCAAGGTTGGATCACCTGGTGTCCAGTCTCTTTGGTGCCTGCGCAGTCCCGGCCCGCTTTCCGCTTTGCCAGCTCCATCTGCTCCCAGCTTGGCTTTTGGCAGGATGGGGGGATTCTCCCCCGCCCGAGGCCACGTCTCTTGTCTTCTAGTCCCTGGCAGGCAGGATGAACCTGAGCTGCTGCCTTCTCCAGAAGCGCAGTGGGAGCTACTCCATTCTGGGAGGGGAGGAGCCCTGGCCACCTCCTGCACCCTGGCTCTGCCCTCTGCGGGCCAGTGAGTGGGTAGGTGGAGGGTCCTCAGTCTTCCTTCCACATTCCTGAAGCCCCAGAGAAACCCAGCTCTCTCTGGTGTTCACCCGTGACCCCCGTGTGCCCCTCCTGGTGCCCCCCCCTTTCCCCAGCTGTGGGTGCAGAGCTTGGTTGCCAGATGAGCTGGTAATGATCGTAATCTGCTAATTGAGAAGAATCTAATTACCCGAAGAGAATGGGGGGGCAGGGCGTGGGTGGGAGGGAGGAGGGGGTCCTGGCAGCCGGCAGGGGTGGCAGGCAGCAGGGTGCCAGGGCCTTTATCAAAGCCCAGGATTTCAGAGCTTTGGAGCTGGGCACTTAGAAAGATGTGCTTTCTCGGGGGCTGGGCTGAGGCTGACCTGGGTATTGGGCTAGGTGTGACCTCCCAGCCCCTGGAGGCCCCTGCAGGCCGAGTCAGAGCACCTGTGAAACAACCCCGGGGGTTTCAGCACTCCTGATCTACAATACGTCTGCCTTGACTCAGCCTCTTGCCTCGTTCCCACTCCTCGTCCCTCCAGTCTCTTGCCTCCAGCCCGCACCTTCTGTCGCCTCTGCGTGGGGTCCGCAGGGGGCTGCAGATGGCTCCTCTAGGCTGGGGTCAGCCCCTGAGGGAAAGGCTGGGAGAGAGGTGGGCCATGGGGCCAGGGGCCCGGTCCCTTCCTCTCCTCCCCCCAGTCCTGACCCTTCTGTTCCGAGTGGTTGGCAGAGGCCATGGCAGCTTCATCATAAATATGATAATTTAATTATTTTCTCAGCAAAACACCGTGAAATCCAATAAGTCTGTGTCAGGCCCTGGCCCCCAGGAACCCCCTCCTGGGCCCAGTGGGGGTGGGGGCAGGGGCAGGGGCAGGGTCAGTGTTAAAAGTGGAGAGGGCTAGTGAAGCTGAGGTCCCTGTGGTGTGCACAACCCCACCCACCCCCCGCCCCAGGCAAAGCAGGTGACTGTTGTCTATGTGCTTAGGTGGAGAGGGGGCGTCTAGGGAGAGAAGTTCCATTGCTCTCCACTCCCTTCAAGCATAGTCTAGAAGGGGACTAGTCCCCCTCCACCCCTAAGGGAACATCCCAGGACCCAGTACGTGGGAGTGTCCGGCCTCCTGAGGGGAGAGCGCTGGGGTCCCCCTTCCTACCTCCGGGACTTCGTTGGCCCTGTAGGGGTAGGAGGGTGCTGGCCCTGGGGAAAAGAGAGGGAACTGGGGTGGGAAGTATGGGATGAGGGGGGAGGGATGCGGGGGAGGGGTTTGCTCCTGCCATTAGCGCTTTTTTTTTTTTTTTTCCAGTTTCCATAAAAAGATTATTCTGTAAAATCAGCGAGGGGGAGCGAGCTGGGGGCCGGGGAGGGGCGGCGGGTCCCTGGCACCAAGCTGGATGGGGTGACAGAGGAGGAGAGCTGGGGAGGGGGACTGAGGGGCCTGAGCGTGGAGAAAAATTTGGACGGGCTTCAGGAGCCAGGCAGGGGAAGAGGCCGAGCCAAGAACACAGATTGGGGGGAGGCTGGCCAGGGTGGGGTGTGGCAGGGACCGGGCCTCCTTCCCACCCCGTCCCCATCCCCTCCCCCTGGCACTTAGCAGCCATTATCGGGGGAGCAGATTGCAGCCCCTCCCCCTCTCCGGGAAGCCGGCACAGCTGGGGCCCCGCCACATCTGCCGCATCAGCACGGAGCACAGCTGGGTGTGCCCAGAGCCGCGCTCCCCAAAACACGACGTGGGGGCGGGGGGGCCAGGGAGAGCCCAGACCCCCTGAGACAGACACACTGACACCTCTGCCAACAGACACAGACTCCTGGAGGCGAAGCTACACCCACCGCCACACAGGCTCCCTCGAGCGCGGAGACAGGAGCACTCACAAACAGGCAATTACTCTGCCCCGCCCGCCGCCCTCGCCCCTTCCGCCGCCTCCTCCCCTTCCTTCCCTCGAGGCTCCCCTCCGCCGCCCGGGCCACCTCTGAACCGCCCTCGGCCCTCGTCCGTTGGGAGCAGGGGCTTCGCCCTCACCAGACACCCTTCTGGAAGGTTTGAAGAACAGGTGGGCAGCGGGTGGTAAGGGGCCTCGGGTCTGAGGCTTGAGCTGGGGGAAGCCACTGCCCCACTCCGCGCCCACGCCCCTACCCACAGAGAGACACCCTCCCCTCTGAAACACTGGTCCTTGCCACCCTGGACGTAAGTGGGGGGTCTCCATCCCCCAGTGGGCCCTTGATTGTGGTCAAGGTCCCTGTGACACGGTTTCCACTGGCCGCCTCAAGGAGGCGCTGCGTGTCCTGTCTGTCCAAGTTCTCTAATCGGAGCTCGGAGGCTCCCAGGGCCCGCCCCTGCCACCCGCCTCCCCGACAGTCTCCAGTAGCCTCCCACTCCCAAGGAATGCCCCTCTCCGCTCAGCTCTGCTACCCCGACGGGAGCAGCGTATGGGGGCTCCATCAGTGGCGGAAAAGTACCCCCTCCTCAGCAGAGATGAGCAGGAGTCCGTCCCCTCCCCACTCCTCAACCAGGCGACGACCACGTGTGGCCTCTGGTTAAATCCTGCCCCCTCGCAGCCCTCGTTTCCCGCACTCATCTCCTTGGCCCCGGGGTCCGGCCCTCAGCCTTCTCCTCCCCGCCTCCCACCACCCCGCCCCCGCCCCGGCCCCGGCCCCTCGAAGCTTTAATCCCTCCCGCTGCCGTACCGCCTTATCTGCTCCCAGCAGCTTTCACTGCTGCAAAGCCCTCTCCCCCCCTCCTTCCCTGGATCTTCTTCCCCCTCCTTCCGCGTCCTCTCTTCTCTCTGACCACCACCACCCCCCACCCCCGGCCTGCCTCTTTCTCTCGGGCCCCTACGATGACTCCTGGCTGCCACCAGATACGAACGCCAGTGCCCTTGGCCCTTTCTCCAGCCTCAGCTCCGAGGTTGCCAGCTGCCTACCCGGCCTCACACTGGCCTCTCCCCACCCCAACCCTCCCCAGACAGACTCCACAGACTTGGTCAGCTTCTGACGAGCCGAGATTTTGCATCTTTCTTCCCTCCCTGCCCTCCCTTCTCTGTCCCCCGCCCCTTGTTCCTCCAGCGGCCCCCTCGATCTCAGACGTGGTCCCCTTCAACCCCCGGTCACCCACTGCCCCCACTGGGCGGGCCCCCAATCCTGATGCGGGGCTTTCGGTGCCAGCCACAGGAGACGGGTCAAGGCTGGGCTGACCGGCCCTCGGACAGAGCAGGGGGTGCCCAGTGCTGGCGGCCAGTGGGGGCAGGGCCCGGCGGCGGGACGCTAACCCTCTTCAGTTGCCTCAGATCACGTCCGGGCCTCCCCACCCCCTTCGCTGGGACTCTCATTAACCGCTTCTCCTGCCTCGTCCGCGGCATAAATAACCCAGATAAATCAGCCGCCGTCCGCCCCCCGCCCCTCGGCCCCCGCACAGCCCGTTTGTCACCGCTGCTCGCTCACCAGCCAGGACTGGCCCAGTCCCGGCCTCCGCCCCCCCCATCCGTGTCCCTTTCCCACCCACGTCTGTTCCACACTGGCCGGTGCCTGGGGTCCCCAGCAGAGCCAGGCCTGGGACAGGTATCAGCTGGGCTGGGCAGGGTGGCAGGGGGGTGTGCTCTGGGAGCTGAGGGCAGCTGGGGCCTCGCTCTAGGACCATGCTGTCTAGGAGTTTGGGGGGTCATGTCATTTATGAGTGGGTTCACCCAGGCTGGGCGCGTGAGACCCACGAAGAGGGTGGGGGGAAGGGGCCAATGTAGCTTAGCTTGGGGGTTCCAGCTGGGAGAAGAGGCAACTCAAGGCCTGAGGGTGCAGGGCAAGTTAGCTGGGAACCCCCAAGCTGGATCCTGAGAGGCCTCCAGGTCTACCTTCTGGAGCACTTTGCCCAAATAAAACCTCCATGCCCCCTACCAGGGGCTCTGAGTCAGAACCCTCCGGCCCTCCCTCACCTATCCGCCCCCCATTCCCCTGCGCTGCCTGGTCAGGCCGTAGAGATGCGCCACTCTAATCGCTGCCTCAGTCCATCCACCAAGCTCTCTCTGTCGGGAAGCCTACTTCAGCCAGGTGGGGGTGGGTGGAGAGCTGGACTGGGAACAAGTCTGGGCAGTGGGGCCAACGGGAGGGTGGGCGGAGGACGCCTGGCTAAGGCTCCTTGTCTTGACCCTGCCCTCCCCCCATCCCCCCAACTCCTCCCCTCCAACCTGCACCCACATTCCCAGCCCCAGAGTCCTGGGCAGCCCCTCCCTCCTTGCTCACACCCGGCCGGGTCCCAGCTAGCCACACTTGGCCCTGATGCTCACTGCAGGGGGCAGCCGGTCCCCTGGGAGTGGGTGGGAGAAGCAGGGGGAAAGGGAAGGGGGAGCTTGGGCGCAGGGCCGGGGGTGGGGGCGGGGAAGAAGCTGG